CGAGGCTGCCTTGTATGATGCTAAGTAGAGACGAGTTATCCAGTGTAGAGGAGAGCAAGGAGTCTTGGACTCCCCTATCACCTTACAGGGACTCGCAGTGTGATCCGGTTCTTTTCTTCACAAGATTACCAGTTCATTCCAGATTAAGGACATATTTGCTCCTACATTTTGTTTTCTTAAGTGGGTTTGTATCTTGGTAATACAATCTCTCCCAGAGTCACCATATCAACCAATGCAGGACACATCTCTCAAATTCCTATCATTTAAGACGGCAATCCTCCTAGGTTTTTTGCTTCGGAAGGTTATAATTAGATGATAGATCTGATAGGACAAGACTTTTGTGCCCAATCTGAGCGTTGCGTTGGTAGATGCGGCTTACATTGACATTTAGACACAATCGTTGCAGATTGTTCATTTCGTGCTAAACTAATGTTGATTCTGAGATATCTAAGAATACTATCTCCTCCTGGTTCAAGAAAACCATATCTTATGCATATTGTGATCAGGATCAAGACTCTTGTATGCTCTCCATGTTATCAGAGCCTTGGTTTCATTCATCTTTGGTGGCTTGGTTGTCCGTTCCGTTGGAACAAGTAGTTGCCAGTCGCCAATGGAAATCATTTAACACTTTTATCTTAGAGACGTTGTTTCCTCTCTTGAGGGTCTCCATTCACTGGGTCCTTTAGTCCGCAGCACCTCGCCTCTGCCTGATTGTCTCTGGGAAAAAAAAGTGTGTGTGTGTGTTACACCTAAGCCTAGAATTACAGGATTGGATCAGACACAACCTACAGCAAGCCAGAGATACCATGGAGGGAGAGACTTTAAGTACTATATATATTAGTTGTATTTGATACCGGAAGTGACGTCATGAGACCGGAAGTGACATCTTATTCCGGAAGTGATGTCAATTATCACCGGAAGTGACGTCATAGGACCAGAAGTGACGTCATAGAACCGGAAGTGACATCATATCATGGAATCTGAAGTTTATTAGTCTAATATCCTTAGGGATTGCTTCAAGGATCCGGAATGACGTCATTGTTACCGGAAGTGACATCATCAAACAGGAAGTGACGTCATAGTTACCGGAAGTGACGTCATAATTTTAAGGAATATTAGGTTTAATTACATATTTTGGGATTCGGATAAAATCATGATACATTTATAGGAATCTATCGTAATCCGGATTTATGGCATCAGGGATTATATAATCCCTACGATTACATATTAGGATTATCATGATATCTATTATATCAACCATAACTGTAGGAAGTTAGAAGACTCACCATCTCTGGGAATGTATTCCCTCTGCTACTGACCAAACTGGAGATAAATGATTTATCTCTGACTAAGTCATAGTTATTCTTAGGAGGTTGAGTAATCAACTCTCAGTTAGTGGTATAGAGGGTAGTATCTTCCAAGGGTAACCCTCCTTCCTTACTTGGGATTCAGGCTACCATAATCCAGAGGGAATGTTTACGTTATGATTAGGAACAATTACATGTATTGTTAGTAAACTTACCTCTGGATTATGGGGAGTAGTTCCCTCCCTGTGTCCTCCCCGCCAAATTATCCTTAGAAGATGTCATAGATGTGTTGTTTTTTAGACAAATTATGAAGGGTTCTAGGAGAACAATACAGTGACATCAGGATCAAGGGAGATAACTCAGGGGTAGATTAGGTATACCACTAGGAATAGCTATGACTTAGTGTCTAAATTTTCTTTGATTTTCTGTATGTAATCTGTGTATCCACAGGAATAAGGCTACCATAATCCAGAGGTAAGTTTACTAACAATTACTAACAATACATGTAATTGTTCCTTTTATGTGCCTACTTTTGAGGTTATTGGGCAAATTTAAAGATTCTTTGAATGGCTGCTACCACACTGTGGTTCTGATGTTACCAGATGCAAGAGTCAGAATTATCGTTTATATTTTGCGATCTTGTCTGTTTATAGTATATTCCTGTATACATCAGGATCAGTTATTTTCATGGGAGATATCAAACTTCAGTGGAAACATATTGAAGCGTAATATGAGCCGGCAATATTGTCAACAAAATGTGAATTCCTACTTCATAGATAAAACATATCCTTTGACACATGTTCAAATGTAATATTAAACCAAACATAAGCACCAGAGTATTGACAGATGACAGGTCAGAGTGTCATAGTTGGGCTGATAGCTGCTGGAGCTGTACACATAAATACTTCTATGTTTTTATTGGTATTTCTGTTTTCCGGGTAGCTGGTTCTCAACATTTCTGATGGTCTCATGGTGATGCCACTGTTTGCACAGGAAACTGTATAATCACAGGTTCAATCCTGATATTCCTGTTATTGGAATAGATAGTGAGTGAGTGAGTGAGTGAGTGAGGTTTTAGACAGTTTTTATCAATATTCCAGCAGTATCACATGGGAGGACACCAGAAATGGGTTTCACACATACCCATTTGGGAATTGAACCTGGGTCTTTGGCATGACGAGTGACAGCATTAACTGCTAAGCTACCCCACCCCACCATTGACTGTAGACTGTCATTTTCTTGAAGGTTTGGATGAGACATGCATGTGATGGCATCATGCAGTTATTGCAATGTTTAATAAGTCTGTTCCATCTCATTTCCCAGAATTCTAAATATCCTAATCATTTGTCTGGATTTAAAAAATAATTATGTTACCATTAACAAATAAGCCATGAATCTGAATATTGATGTTGAAAGTTCCTTCTGTGGTACATGGAGTGTATAATTCTTCCATGGTTTTACATATCAGGCAGTCATTTACATATGGCTCATCTAAAATGGCCGACATTGTTTTGTAGGAAGCAAACATATATCAAATGTATATAAACATTTAAAAATCCTTTTGAGTTTTTTTCACAATGTGCTAATGTGTTTATTGCTGCTATATTATTCTTGGGAATATTCCACTCCATTATTGTACAGAATATTTTTCTTTTTCAATGATACATAATATTTATTCTCATAATATATTACAGATATATTTCAATATAGTGGCTTGTCTAATTGTCGTTATCAGAAGTGGTATATATACGTAAAGTGGATTGTCAAACAGCACTCACTCATCCTTGCTGCTGTGATGTTGTGTCAATCAAATATAGCTTTCGCTAGGTTCAGAGACATATTTGCAAGTTTCTTAACCCATTTCACACAGCATTTAACTAAACCAAGTTTGTTGATCTCTGATAAAAAAGTGATTGGCGTATTTATTGCCCTCTGCTTGTTCACATTTTAAATTAGTTTCATTAATATTATAAAAAGTTAAATAACGTAAGACCGCCTCTGTGGTGTAGTGGTTAGAGCGTCAGCCCGGCCCGGAGAGCGGAAGGTTGTGGGTTCGATCCCCGACCACGTCATACCAATAGACGTTAAAATATGGTACTTGTTGGCCCCTGCCTGGTGCTCGGCATTAATGGGTACAACAAGGACTGGTCGGCTCGGAGTCAGTATAGTGTGTCTGAGTGGGGTATTCATGCTTCACTGCGGCATGGTATCTCAGTGGGCTAGCACTATAAAACCAGCTTCAGTCTGGGCTAGTACAAGCAGCTGCACATACACATACACACGCATACACGTTGTCATTTGAGCGAAATATTCTCAAGCACGACGTTAAACCCAATTTCACCTAAATAACGTAAATTACTGTTATGTAATTTTAAGCTAAACTGTGTAAGAGCCGTTCAGCAGATGGCACCTGCTTTATTGTGGTAATATCCTATTTTCACTCATACGTATGTTTTTTGTTTTTTTTCAGGAAAACAATTGATTTGCCTTTGCATGTATTTGTGATTGGTGCATGATTGGGTATGGAATGCATGTGAACACCTGGTGTCATCACTCTTTCTTAAACACCTGCTAAAGATATAGCTGAAATCATATTATCAACTGTGCTTTTAGCGGAGATTTTGTGCAAGAATTATTTTATGATTTTCTTCTTCAGAATTAAACACAGTTGCGTCCAGCCTTTAATGAATCTTTAAATTGTTACTTGTATTATTTGTATGTCAACCAAATCTGCCAGTCTAACCACGTCTGATCCCGTTACACCCAGCATGGGATGCTGAAGACCAATTCTAACCCAGATCTTCACGGGTCATCACCTTCTGCTCAAACTCATTTCATTGAACTAAAAGACCAAACAGTGGTAACGTTATATGAATGGATCATTGAAAGCCAGTGAGGACACCAGGTGGAAAGGTATCACCCGCTACTCGTGCTATTTCCTTGAAAAAGAAAGCAAGTTTTTATGTAGCATAGCAAATCAATTTAAAAAATATTACGTTATTACTGTTATTTTGCTGTGTTGTCCAGCAGTTACCAAAGTAAACACTTTCTGCTCTTTCATCATTGTTTTTAGTGGTTTCCTTATTTCCCAGCAGGATCTTTAGTGGATATATTTTTACACTGCTTTTAACAGAAATGGGCTTCGCACATTGTACCAGTGTGGAGGTATTTAGCCAGCCTTTAGGCTCTAAATTTTATGGTCCTGGGCCTAGATTTTCGAAGCTCTCTTATCGCTACGATAGTCGCATTAGTGCCATACCTTAACATTAACTTACGACTATCTTAGCGCTAAGAGAGCTTCGAAAATCTAGGCCCTGGGGCCTGTTTCACAAAGTGATCATAGAGCTACGACTGTCATAAGTCTATGTTAAAGTTTGCGAGTTAGTGCTATGACTGCTTTGTGAAATGGGGCCCTGGGTACCGTTGTACAAAGTGATCTTAACTACCGTAGTTAGTTAGTCTTAGTGCTAAGGTTGTTTTGTACAATGGCACCCGGGAGACATAATACTGATATGTAGCAATTTTAAGTGAAAGATATGGTAGCACAATGGCAAGGTTGTTCTTCCATCCCATTTGACCTTGGATTCAGTTCCTCTAGCAAGACAGCTGGGAGGCAAAATGGATGGTCACTCTTTTGGCGTGTGCATCTGTATTTTGCGAGAAGTTGTGGTCAACAATTCAACAATACAACAATTACAGTCAACAATATGCAGTTTTATTGTCATATGCAAAAGGAGAAACTGTGACAGGAAAAGAGAATGATAAACTGCTGAGTTACAATGAGCCACCTTTTCTCAGTGTCGCGCTGTGATCTGGAACAGCCAATATACTAATTAAATTACGCTCTGTGGTCCGACATGAATTCTTTTCCTCAATGAGCAATAATTCTGTTATAAAACCAAAAAATATGTTTCAAAAACAATCAGAAAAAAATCATCTCAGATTGTTCAAAAACTGTGATTGCAAAGTTGATGACTAAGTAATGTTTTTGGACAAAATAATGATGGTTGCTCTACTTTAGAGTGAGTTTGTAGCATGATAATGTTAACAGTGGTTCATAAAACTACTTTGCCATTTGACAGCGATCGCCTGAAGTGTCCTCTAATATTTTTCATTAATATGACTTCTTCCTCTTCCATTATTATAACAACTGTATGTCGTTAAGTCAGACTGACAGTTCATGTGAGTGAAATATTGATTTTATTTCACCATATATATATTTTATCACTTACTAACACATATGAGAAATGATGACTAGTTCGTCGTAAAGCTGTTACCTTTATTTCATATTGTGAGTGATGTCACAATGTCAGAAGCTATGGAATGTTGTCATGTGGCAAACAGCTTCATTATCATACAGAGTGGTTCTTATATCTGTCATTTTGATAATCTTGTGAATCGGGAAGAATATTAGTCTGTAGGTTTTCTATTACCCCAATAAAATTTCAAATGTTAAATTTAATGGCTTGATTATAACTGACACCCAATCCAGCATGACTAATCGTTCAGTGTTGAACTGAGTCAGGACAGAGCTGTTACTGTGAGATCACGTGTACATCTTAGTTTACAACAAATACTGATGGTATGATTTATCAGCAGTACCTTGAGTGGGTGAGTATGGTTTTACGCCGCTTTTAGCAATATTCCAGCAATATTACGACGGGGGACACCAGAAATGGGCTTCACACATTGTACCCATGAAGGGACTCGAACCTGGGTCTTCAGCCTTATGAGCAGACGCTTTAACCATCAGACTACTCTACCCCACCTAGCAGCATTGAACACTTGAAATGGCTTAACAGGTGTTGATATGACTGAATATAGCAGAATATAACAGTGGTAGAGGTAGCTTTAATGTGTTATGGTTGATGTGTTTGGGACCATTGTCATTCTTCAACAACTAGTATATCAAATCAGTCAGACACTATTTGCTGAAGAAAACATTTAGTTTGTGATGAGTTATCTGTACAATAACCTCGAACAAGGACTATGTATTGGAACTTTATTCTTAACATCAGTTAGGTTGGAACATAGTTGTATGAAGCAATCCATGAACAGGGCTATGCTGTCTCAATTTGTGGCCCTGTTCATGGACACTGCATCATGGGGAAATCTACAGGTACAAATTAACATATTGTCGAAAGCTGTGGAAACCACACTCACTCAGCGCAACTATGTCTTATGTTAGGGATCTTGTACAGTCAAGTTTCAAGACAAATCTGAGCCTGTATCATAAAATATCATTAATAGATCACTTTCAGCAAATACCTGATATATTGTTTCTTAATTCAACACTTGGCAATATTCCAGATAAATGTCAACACCTTGTTAATAATCACATCGGGACCAGACAAACAAGTACTTGATGTCAACTTGTCTACAAGTGATGATAGATAAACGATTCTGGGAATGATGAGATTCTGAAGAAAGACGTCACCTCTTTTATGTTTTTACTTGTCTTCAAATAGTATCCAGTTTACATTGATTCATTCTGGTCAACCACTGGAGTGTCTGCCCAATACAAACATATTTAGGCTGGAATCTGATCTTCCTGTAATAGTGTTGACACTCCTGGAAGTTTAGAAACAAGTTCAGGACCCCCATGCTGTTGCTGTTCTACAGATAATGTATCATACCCGTGAAAGAATCAGGCGATGCTGAACGTTTTGTCAGTAGTACAATTACACACATTGTGGAGGTCATGTGGTTCTGGTCAAAAAGATTTGTGACTCCTGTTTTGGTCTCACCCTCTGGGTCTGCTGTGGCTAAGATGGATTAGAATCTGGCTCATTTTAACTTTTGTAAAGACAGTTCTTCAGAGAATATTCTTATCAGCGTAACACATTTAATATAGCATCACATTTAAGCTGTTTGAACCATTGTGTGATAGTTTTGAAAGTTAGGTTGCAACATTTCTAGCAGAATTACTACATCAAAAAAGAAGTTGCTTTGAGTACTATATCTTCACTGAGGGCTATGCTGTCTGGCTTACCAGCCCCAAATAAGGATAAGTAATCTCAAACTCGGTTTAAAGTTCTACCAATAATGTCGTGGGCCCATTTCACAAAGCAAGTGTAGTGCTGTGACTGTCATCGTTGATATTGTACATCGTAAACTTAAGATTCATGGCAATAGGATTGCTTTGTGACATGTGTCCCAGCACATATTGGTGAAATTCATCCCGATCTCTCCAGGATCAGGTGCTCATCTCGACTATGGAGCATCTTCTTGCAGTTTACTGTACAGAATATTGATGTCAGGGTTTCACGGAATGACTTGTTAATAACACAGTATAAGACAAAGTTTGTGGAAAAATTCAAAGCCTGCATAAAATTAGTGATGGCATTCACGATCTTCACTTTATGCTGATGTGAGTCAGTGGTGTAGTTCAACACAAACTTGAGCAATTCACTTGGTGACACAAGAATAAGGAACATTATCACTACGGCAACAAGAGTTGCTGTCACACTGTTCAATGCACTATCAGTTGATCGTTTCCGTGAAATATGCCGTGCCATTTTGGTTTGATGGGGGCTAGAGTTGTAGCTCTGAGATTCTAACTCAACGGAACAGGATGGCTTGTATGATATTTGTCCTGGACTTCTTTTAAAACTCACTGATGTTGAAAGTGTTCCGTTTTTGTTTGAGCTGTATAGACTACTCTGCTCGTGGCACTGCATCGGCGCCATGTTCCGCCGCATCCGCTTGGCATGGTGGATCTTCCATATCAGACATATGTTGAAGTAGATCAGAGCAGCACAAGGAATGAAGTCAAACAGCACTGACCACATCAAACGTCTGGCTGCTATAACTTCACGGGTGAACATACTTCGTTCTATGACTTGGAGGTAAGTTACGTTGTCAGCACACTGAAATTCTTGAATGCGAGTTTGCATGAAGATGGGAATGGTGCAGAAGGCACATCCTACAAATATGGCAGTGATACTTATACGAGTGCGACGAAGGGAGATAAGATTCCTGGCTTTGAAGGGATGACAGACGGCCATGTATCGCTCACCAGCCATCACAACAATCAACCAAGTGCTGGTTACGATAAACATAGTGATGAAGCCACCTCCTAACCAATCATAGTAGACAACAGCATCGCCGAGGATGTAAACTCCTTTCAGTGGCAGCATCACAAACAACAGAGCCAACAGACAAAACATAAAATCAGAAAAGGCAAGTGCGATGAGGCCCATATGGGCAGATAACTCCATCTTGGTCAGCGTACGTTGACGTTTTTCTTTTGTTAACACCAACAGGTTTAAGATGTTGCCAACAATTCCGAATGAACAGACCACAGGGATGCCGATGTTCATGAAATAGTACTTGATGGCCACTGCTTGCAGCTCCTCTGCACTCTTGGTGTTGGAGGTTGTGTTCCCAGCACTGTCTGCACTCAGATTTGGACAAAACATCTTTATCTGAAATCAGGACAATAAATCGTTATGTTACTGGTAGATTCTTGCTACTGAGGGAAGACATACCTGCAAACTTAGAAATACATGAGTAGAGTTTTCGCAAGCGAGTAAGGTTTTATGCTGCTTTCGGACATATTCTAGCAATATCACAGCGGGGGACACCAGAAATGGGCTTCATGCATTGTACCCGAGTAGAGTTTTAAACACATGGGCATAAATTCAAAATGTCACCAACTTGTTTTATGAAATAATACAAAATGTATTGGATGAATAAATGGATGATGAAGAAGAAAGTGGAAAATTCAAAAGTTTTCTTGTGAAAAACTTGTAAAATCTTGCTGTGAAAATGATCAGCCATGATCAACTGGGTGACAGCTGGCCTTGCCAAGTTTGGACGTCTGACATCATGGTGAATGAAATATATGCACAGGTAAAGAATTGATATTGGCTAATTCCAGGAACGTGATAATGGACATGTCTACCTCATGTCATCATGTGACTTTTGTCATTACAAAATGGTGTTCTTAAATTCTACTGTTGGTACCAGAATACTGTAGATCCCGAATCTTGATCTCTGTTTTATGTTACACAATATGCTTAGCTATGTTATTAAGTATTACATTACATATTGAAAACTCACTCCACCATTTAATTATTAAGTGGGAAATGTTTTCCCACTAAAATAATAATAATAATAATAATAAATGGATATTTCTTATGAGCCATAGTCCACCCAGAGCATGCTCAAAGGGCTACAAAAAATAAAAAGAGTCACTAGAGTTGATGAGGAAGATATGACAAGTTTGTCAAAATGACCATGAGAATATTTCGCAGTTATAGGTTGTAGACTTTTTTGAAGAGGAAGGTTTTGAGTCCCGATTTGAATGCTTCTAAGGATGAAGCATTTTTATGGGAGTTGGAAGACTGTTCCATAGGGTTGGTGCTGCAAATTTGAATGACCTATGGCCAAAGTGTTTGAGATGAACTTGGGGAACTGAGAGAAGATCTTGAAGATCACCCAAATGACATTGTTTTGAACTATTTACAATGGGGAGGGGCCTTTGTGGGAGACGGGTTAGTTGGAGACGGGTTAGTGGGGGATGGGTTAGAGGGGGACAGGTTAGTGGGGGTGGTTAGTGGAGGATGGGTTAGAGGGGGATCGTCAGAGTATTGAGGGAGCTGTTGGGAATAAATGACACCAAAATATTGTGACAAAGCTTTGGTCATTTATTGTAGGGAGGGAGAGGGGGGAAGGGAGATCCTTAAGACAAATCTTACTGTTCCCAAGTAAAGTAGATAACTGGCCGCTAATTACAGAATATAGGAGAGATGAAACAACAGCATATATCGTATATTTCTCACCTGCAATGTGCCAACTTTGTTATCCCGAACTGGTGACCGACTAGGTCTGCTCCATTATGGGCGTTGTATCTGGAACAAGAAGTGTTTTTTATGTAATTTTATTAAAGTTTGTAAGATATACAATTACAGTGCCATGAGCCAACAGCTGATGTAACAGGTGGCGTGATTGATCTGTTCGGTATGGGGTCATACTAGTACATGCTTGACAGAATTTGTTAATAATGTAATTTGAGAACTTGTATTTCATTTTATTTTAATTTTTTTTGTTTATCATATTTCTAATTGATCATGAGGCAACTATTGCAGGACTTTGTGCATAGAAAGGAAGTGAATGTCTTTGCTCTTATTAGGGGTATGTGAGAGACCCACTCTTTCCAAGATGTATAGGGGGGGTCAGTAGCCAAGTGGTTAAAGCGTCCACGCGTCATGCTAAGACTTGGGTTTGATTCACCACATGGTTACAATGTGTGAAGCCTATTTCTGGTGTCCACAGCTGGAATATTGCTAAAGGAGGCGTAAAATCATGCTCACTCCAAGATGTATCTGTCGGTATCCCTACAGTAGGGGAAGTGGGAGAAGCTGAGGACACCTCACAACTATAGGGATCTTGTACCAAGGAGAGTAGGAATACATCTGCCTTATACCCCATACTGGGCAAGTTGACATTTCAAAAATGGCATTTTGTTTTATATCCAAATATACATTTTGGGTTAAGTTTCTTTCTTGTTACTTTATTCATCTGTAGGTTAAGTACATCAAACATCTTGTGCAAATATGTGCACACAAGTTCTTTGAAGTATTAAATGCACATTAAGGGCCAAACAAATGTTTGAATGGGCCCTTACTGAGCACATTGACTGGGGGTACTGCATAGTTTATGTTCAGTTTCTGGCTAGCTGCTTGATTTTGAATTTGAAGACTTGAATTTATCTAAACAACATGTTATATAATGGTTTCAAGATACTGTAAACAGAATGTATGCAAGAACATTTAATGGATAGTTGGGCTTTCACTCTCAACACACATGTAAGCACACAAGGTTAATAAAGACGGAAAGTGAAAAGTTTGTATTTGTGCCCCTGCTGTCTATCAAACAAACATACAAACTTGATCATTAAGTTGAAATTACCATGTCAACGGGCATACTGTCAAATTAAAAGTATGTGGTTTGTAAAAAAGTACCGCCAGAATTACATGTGACATCAGCACATTACATACATATCAGCCAATACATGTGCACTTTAAGCAAAGGAAACCATGGCAACAAGACAGGAAGTGGGGTATAATAATTATTATGGATTTATTATTTTATTAGAGAATATTGTAGATCCAAATGCAGTCAACCCCCCAAACAAACAAACAAAAAAACCCAACAAAACGACATTCATCTACTGAATCATCAGGAAAGGAGCACTGATGGTAATGAGTTTGGGAATCCCCAATAGATGACACGGCAAACGAGAAGGGGTTTCCAACCTTTACCATATCTAATAGGGTGGTGTGCATGAATACAATAGTGCAGAACTATTTCTTTTACAAAAATATGCGATCCTTTTAACAATATTTAACCAGTCATTCATATGTGGAAGCATATGGGGTTCATGGGTGAGTGAGTGAGTATGGTTTTACACCACTTTTAGCAATATTCCAGCAATTGGGACGCCGGAAATGGGCTTCACACATTGTGCCCATGTGGGGAATCGAACCCAGGTCTTCGGCATGACGAGTGAACGCTTTAACCACCAGGCTACCCACCACCCGTGGGGTTCTTGAAGACATGTCACATGCATTGCATCAAAATGGGATACAGTCCTGTCATAGTCTCATCATTTCCCATCTGTCCGTAATGACCAGTCCGCAGTGCTTCTATTACATGCTTTTAATTCTAAACAATTTCTTGATCAATAGTAAAAGACATTGTTTTGCTTGTTTTGTCAGAATGTCATCACTTAACACTTGGCAAGAAAGATCCACTTTTTCTCTCATATTGACAGGAGAGAGAAGTGACTTAAAGCTTGTCCTAATAGCAACATACATATTTCAGTCATATCAATTCATCTCTAATTGTTTTCAGAAATATATGCTTGATAATTTAGGACCTAATATATATTTGTATTGATAACCGATATTTATTACGGATATCAGGATGGTACTCATTGAAACATATGTGTAACCTTATTCTTGTACTGACTCCAATGTTTCAGGGTTGAAGAGCTTAAAACCATAACTGGCAAATTAGAATTCCCCCAGTTAGAGTAGAGTGTAGAGAAAACAAATTTACTTTATAGTGAAATTATATTTATGTCTCTTCCTTTTATTCGGTCACAAAAAATGTGGTAAATGTGGCAAATTGAAGTCTCATCACTTGTTCAAATGTCCAGTGAGTGAGTGAGTGAGTTATTATTTAACGTCACATCGGCAATATTTCAGCCATATTGTGACGATTCAAATGTCCAGATATGATGTACATTGACTGTTTTAAACAAGGTGACTGCAGTAGGATTTAGATGATTCATTTTCATAGATTTGATTCCAATATTACGATTGGACAGGATTTACCCCAGTTTGTTATTAGTGGTAGTACGGACAATACTGCTCTCAGCACGATATCGATACTGATGGTCAGTCCCGGCCTGGCTACTTCCTCAGTAGCCCCAGAGTATCTCTACACATCACAATATACTGGGAATGTGTCACAGAATATACTGTAATGTATGAGCATCTTCATCTTAGCATTTATGTGTATGATGGCAGAGTGAGCATATATTCCAAGATGTTGTGCTCCTCCTACTGTAGAAGTTGGCATCCATAAATCTTTCTCCCTTTGTTCATTACTAAAATATACATGCCTCAAAGGCTTGATAGGAGACCTATTTTCTGCCTTTCAACATCAGCCAATGGAATGTCCAGGAATCACTTTTCTATTGTTTATAAGCTGTTATTATCTTACTTTTGGGGAAAACTGTCTGAGATGGGATTGGATGGTGACAATATCTGCTATATCACCTGGAGGAGTAGTTGTGTGCGGCTCACATCGGTTGTTGAAATATGAGACTTGCTTGAAGCTAACTCTCTTCACTCACTCACTCACTCAATCATACACTCACTCATGTATGCACTCACTCACTCGCTCACTGGTATCTTCATCATGAAAATTTGTAAAAAAAAAAAAAAATTAGCCATAAGTTTGGCACTAAAAAACCTAGCCCTCTCATTGATTCTCACACACACAAGCTTTGTGTTTTTGAAAGGAGGAAATAACAAAATCATCAGTTTGAACTCAGTTAATCTATTTGAAATCTTTGTCATCCTGAATCCCTCAAAGAATTCTTTTTCTTCAAGTTCTTATTATGAAAACCTGTCCAACAAAAAATCACAATTTCTTCTATTACATCAGCCATGAAGACATCATGACCATTTTGGCACCAACAAATCCTTTTCCTGTGTAATTTCCTCTTATTTCCCATCTTGATAATGCCAACTTCCTGTTGGGCCAAGCTTGAATGATCTCACAATCCACGTCACCAGATAATAAGGTCTTATGCAAAACTGCTCATTCTGTTATAGATCACTGTTGTGGATCACAAAGAGCTGAAATACTGGCAATGTGGCATCACATGTTAACTTTCAGAGTCACTCCCATCAGTGCCGGATAGAGGTGGGTGCTTGGCGTGTGAGAGGAGTGGGCAAGGAGGTGAAGTCTTACATCAGTTGAGTCAAAACCTGTCGGGAATATTATTAATGCTGAAACAAATTGTTGGTTCACATTCCTTTGCTGCCCTTTGCAGTAGTAAACAGGATATTAAATTAATGCTACTTTAAGTTCATTAAAACATCAAAGGGTGGTAGGACTATTTATTATAAACTACTTAAATCGGGGAAAAATTACATCTGTCAAATGTGAAAACCTAATCAATGTAGAATTGTGACAGAGTATCGTTTTCGCTCATTTCAGGAAATGTATTAAAGATACCAAGTTAACTGACTTTCAGTATAGATTTATTATTGGAATTATTTACACTAAGCAAGTGCTATTAAATGTGAAAATAGTTTACTTTATTAACGGATATTATGAAAAGGATATTTACATCTCAGTTATCCAGGTGAAAACCTAATAATTGGAATCTTTTATTGAAAGGATATTAAACACAAATTCATAGACTAAATCATGTTGCCTGGTGATGATGGGTACTGCCCTCTCTTCAACCACTGGCTTTGACTGAGAACATTATAAGATGCCACATGTTTCACCAACTGCCTGCAATCATCCAGACAGTATTCAAACCAAGCAGCCATTGTGGACACAGAATCCCCATGATGTTATCTTGTATGAGAGGCACTAATTCTGCTCTGTAATCCCACATTGACCCAATCATTCTAATCAATACCCAATCCATCTCTTAGAAAACTGCCTATTAATATATGATACAACTTAATACTTTCTAAAATCTCCCCATTTGATGAATGACGAATGTAGGCTGAACTCATGCCCTTTCCATTCTTCACTGCCGTCTGCTCCCGCCGTCTGCTCCAGCATGTGAGGATCCTGCTGTCTACAGAGCAAGTCTAATTGCCTGACGTCTGTCTGTTCCATCTTCATACTTTCAACACATTGATTCTCACATCCTGTTCAGTCAGTTGAATCATTATCTTAAAACATGGTATTATGGATGTTGTTCAATAGAAGAGATCAATATTATTTTCAGGTATCACTAACAGATTTAGATTGATTGTGTTGGGATCACATGAACTTTGTGTAAGACATCAATATCTCCTGCTGTGATGAAAATATGTATGATGGAACCTTTCACTTCTGAATCACAGAGTTTACCTAATGGACTTGGTGACCTCTGTGTGTCACCTCCCCTGACTGTGAGACTTTATTCTTAATATTAGTTACTGGTCTGGCTGGTCCAGACACAGCCTGGAATATTTCTGAGTGTAAACAAAAGAAATCAATTGTTGCTATTTGTATGTTGTTTTCACACATCCAGAACCAGCATCACTTCGGGATTTCCTTTCACATTCAGCTCACACACTGAGATATGACTTGAACATTTTCATACAGG